CTTATTTGGATGAGTCTTATTTTTCCACAAATATTTTTAGACATTCATGTCATTTGAAAAATTCATGTCATTTGAAATATACCAATAAATAGTTATTGGGACAGACAGGCTATACTATATATTGGCAGAATTAGCAATACCACATAAGCTAATTAGACTCATTAAAGCCACAATGGATGAAACTCAGGCATGTGTACGAATACAAAACAACCGGAGAGACTTTTTCAAAATCTCGCAGGGACTAAAGCAGGGAGATGGGCTGGCACCAACATTGTTTAACCTGGCACTGGAGTATGCGGTTAGGCAAATGCAAACTGGACGAGAAAACCTACTGACCAATAAAACGGTTCAACTGGCTGCCTACGCCGATGATATTAATATTATGAGTAGAACATCAACAGGAGCACAGGAAGCATACGCAGAGTTAAAAACACAAACGAAAAGGCTAGGTCTGGAAATTAACACAGAAAAAACAAAAATAATGGTACAGACGAGAAGAAATATAATCCCACAAAACATTATACATGAAGATGACATTGAAACGGTTGGAAAGTTTACATACCTGGGAGTAGAAATATATGCCGATGGAGCAGAGGATGGAGAAATACGAAAAAGGATAACGCAGGCAAACAAAGCTTATTTTGCCCTCTCCCATATATTTCGGTCTAAAAGTGTCCACCGAAATACAAAGATGAGAGTCTATAAAACTTTAATTCGACCAATAGCATGTTATGGCAGCGAAGCATAGGTCCTGAAAGAAACATCCAAAAACAAACTCGACACATTCGAAAGAAAAGTACTGAGGAGAATACTAGGACCTGTGAGGGAAAACGGAATCTTCAGAATTCGATATAACAACGAGCTCTATCAACTGTATAAGGAAACACCCCTGTCAGACTTCATTAGAATACAAAGATTGCAATGGGTCGGACATGTGATACGAATGGGAGAGGATAGGCTACCAAAACGAGCACTGAACGCCAGAATGCAGGGAAAGAGACCAGTTGGAAAGCCAAGAAAGCGCTGGGAAGACACAGTAAGCAGCGACGCACAAGCACTTTTAGGAGTCCGTGTATGGAGAAGAGTAGCCACAGACAGACAAGGGTGGAGGCAAAAAATAAAGGAGGCCAAGGCTCATTTTGGGCTGTAGTGCCGTAGAAGAAGAAGAATAAATAGTTAATTGTATAATGGAATCTATATTGAGAAGTCTATGGACTACAAATAGAAAACAAAATTGACTGATATGAGGAACTAGATGCACCAGATTAGTAGAATAATGTACAATTTATAATTAAGGCGGTGAAAGGAAAACTAGTTGTCAATTTTTGAAATTGGTCTTTCTTATACCTACCATTTTGCCACACTAACATTGAATTATAACGCAACTGATCCAAAACAAATCGCTCCGTATGCGAATACAGGTTTTATTTAGATTTCAGATGAAACTAGTTTTCAATAGTTGTTTTAAAACAATTGCATTGTGGACGCTGGACATTACGCAACTGCGACCACAGGAGAAAGCTAAAACAAAATCGGTTTTAGAATAGTTGGAAACTGGTTTTAACCTATTCGCCCTGTGGGCGAATACCTAAGCTTTTACGCTGCCAAGGTCGCAAAACAGTTACGAGAGCATTCGTTTTCAGACCGTAGTTTTAAAATAGTTGCGCATATTTCAAAGTGATGTTCAGGCTTGCACCACGTTTTCTTTCTCCACCGCAATTAACATAAAATGCACTCTTTGATGATTTTTGAAATTTGTCTGTGGGGATATATGACAAGTTGACTAATAAATGCCTTTATCAAACTCTAAATAACTATGTATTGCCCGCATTTGTTAATTGACTATTTAAAATAGAAGAGAAATATATCGTCGGCTTACAAGCGAAACACACTAAGTCAATTTTTTTCACTTTTGAGTTATTTGCAGCATTTTATTGTATTTTTTTTACTCTTTAGACTGGTTAAACTCACTAAGTCATACAATAACAAAAACTGTTATTTTTATAATTATCATGTTTCTCACTAAGTCTCAAAAACTATATATGATTCAGGCAAAACACACTAAGTGACTTAATGTATTTCACTTGACTACGAATGAACCTACCGACTGACTTACGCAGAGCAACTTGTCCAATCTTATAAAAAATTAATTATTTGTTTGGGTATATTGCATAGGTTTTGTCAGTTTTGTTCCAGTGTTTTGCGTGATTAGTTCGTTAACAGTATTGAATTTTGTGTGTATTTATTAATTAATTTCTGTAAGAAAAATAAAATTTTCTGTCGAACTATCTACAGCGGTAAACAAACACGTGAGCCTAAATTCTGATAATTTTTGTCAAGATATTCAGTCAGGTCCTCACAAATAAGTGACCAGGATTCTGACAAATGTATGGAGAATAGCGACTCTTCCTTCAGGTAATGAAAGTGATAATTTAGATACCAGCGATGGAAACTCTACAGCAGCCGAGGAAAAAACAAATTCAAATGAAAATAGTCAAGTGGGACCTCAAAGAAACCAATAGAATACCCCAAGACCATCTGTGTGGAAAAGAAATGTTGAAAAAAACAAACGAGTTGAAGGAAAACCCTACAAAAGTACCACTGGTAGAATGCAAGCTCCTAAAATTCCAAAAGCGGTTGATTGCTCTAAATGTCGATTTAAGTGCCAAAATAACTTTTCTGAAGAGAACCAGAAGTTGCTATGTCAAACTTATGCGATGTTGTCATTTCAAAGACAGAAATATTTTATATTATTGAATGTGCTTTCTAATGAAGTAAAGAGTCGCAGGCCTAGAAAAGGAGAAAATAGCAAAATGCGATCCAAAGCAAAATCCTATTTTTTCACAAATATGGGAAAGAAAAGTCAAGTGTGTCAGAAATTTTTTTTAAAACATTGTCTATTTCTAATATGCCTATAATTAATGCTTTTAAAGAGTAAAATGAAAGCGGCGAATATAGTGGAATAGACAGAAGGGGCGTAGGATTCCTGGCAATAAAACTGCAGTGGAAACAAGAATAAGAGTAAAAAAACACATTGAAAACTTTCCTGTTGTAGAAAGTCACTACACAGTCTTCGAAAGGACTTTATTTAAATTGCAATCTTAATATTAAAAAAATGCACGACCTGTTCGTTAAAAAGTGTAAAGAGGACAATTTGCCAAGCTTAAGTCAGATAACTTATAGGCGAATCTTTTGCAAGGAATTTAATATATCATTTTTCAAACCTAAGAAAGATCAATTTTTGACCTGTAAGGAATATACAAAAGCATCGCAACAAGAAAAAGAAGCGATGGAGCTTAATTATAGGAGTCCTTTAGACAGAAAAGAGGCTGCAATGAAAGAAAAAAATTCAGACAAAGAAGTATCGAAAAAGAATAAAAAATTTAAATAAATTACATGTTATATGCAAAGCGTTTTACAAATTCCATCATCGCAAGTAAGTCTCTTGTATTATCTTAGAAAGCTGAACCTCTATAATTTTATAATTTAGGAATCTGCTCCACCAAATGAGGCATTCTGTTATTTTTTGGACCGAAGTCAATGGTAAGCGTGGAAGCTGTGCAATTGGTACTTGCCTAGGAATGTACATTAATTCATAATCTGATATAGAACATCTAACGATTTTTTCAGATACGTGTGGAGGACAGAACAGAAATATTCAAGTATCTGCTCTGCTTTTACATATTGTTAAAAACCATCCGAGTCTTCGGATAATTGAGCAAAAATTCATGGAAAGTGGACACTCCTATACGGAAGTAGATTCCATGCATAGCGCTATTGAAAGTGCCAAAAAAAATGTTATACACGTTTTGTTTTGTTATACCTGTTTTTTTAATAATGTTCTTGTTTTGTGAAAATATGCATGAAAAAAGTAAAAACTTGTATAAGCAAAAATTATTGTATTATTTACAATATAAACGAAGCCTGCAATAATCGTATGACAGTAAGTAAATAAAAAAAAATACACGTAAGTCATACTTTCATAGCAAAATTAAACAAGTAAAACACACTAATTTAAATGCTACAGGTAAAAAACATTAAGTCAACGTATTCAAATCGAAAATTAAACAAAAATTAATAATTTGGTAATATATAATTTACTTCTCCTCGTCAGTAATCATTATTAATACTTTATGAAAACTTTCGTATACTTACAAAACAACAAATAAAAGTTTTAAATGTGAAAATTGATCAAACTGTTTTAAAAAAAATTTAAAACACGATTATCTCAAAACTATATTTTTTGACTTAGTGTGTTTCGCTTGTAAGCCGACGATATATGAGTTAGTGATTGTCATTTTCAACGTTTCATTAATGATTTTTTTCTGGAACAAACTTGGATTCTAAAAGTATTTTAAAACATGTCAAAATTTTCTCAAACTGAACTTTTGGATTGATATAGGTTTAATAAAAAAAACCATCCATGAATATAATACAAAATAGCAAACTATTCAAAAACAAATTCTGTAGATATCATAACAAGATATACGCATAGCTTCTACAGAAAGTACCTTTAATATTAAATATTGTATAAATATACAGGTCTAAAGATTCATCTAGAGTCTTACACATACTCGATACACAGAGGATCAAGTAGCAAAGACGACGAACGCTTTAAGTAGACAGATAGTTATTAATGAAAAAGTGTTTATATCGTTCTTACATTACCAGCGAGTTTTGTAGTTCCTATTAATGAAGTAGTATTATTACTTCATTTGTTGACTAGTGTACTTTCCATAAATAAAAGCAATGGCCCGAATGTACCACAAAAATCATTATATAATACAGCCTAAGACGGCATTTAAATATTCAAAATCTAAACCGACTTTATACTGTTTATTATAATCAGCTGATGAATATACAATATTTACAGCTTTGTAGAAAATGCGTTAGAATTACGACTGCTCAATCAAGTCGTGAACGGCGACTGCGAATCCAACTTTTTCAAATTACTTTGAGAAACAATCACGCGATCTCGAATACAAAAATTCTACAACTAAATCTATCTGGCATAATATATTTTATACACTTCTTCCAATTTTTTTTGCTTATTGTACAATATTTACAAAAAGTCGTTTACAATAAAAGAGACAAGTAAATAATCGCAAAAACCCGAGACAATAAATCATTTTAAAAGCTACAGACATGGTCGCTGTCGTTATTTACAAATATTCGGCGAAATTAGCCATTTTTTTTTGTTATAATTCGGTAGGTATACAATCATAAGACGGATTTTACAGATTCGCGTACCATCCGTTATTTAAGAACTAAACATTTTGACACAGCCTTTTCCAGTTTAATGTACAAGACAATCCTTTCGGCATCTTGACTCCCAAATTCTTGCCTTCATCAATATTTTCCATTAAGTTTCGATCTCTGTCAAGAGATTTTTCCTCGACTTCTATCGAGTAAGAGTTTCACGCTCAACATGACTTCGCTTGCTTTTAAGATTCTCTTTCTTTCTTCACTTTGTAATCTTCACCCAATATCGTGGCTATTTCTCCCTGCATAAATGCCCATGGTACATTCGAATTCGCCAATGGACATTTTTCTCCGCTAGGACAGTATACCTGCAACAAAAAATATTTAATCAGCTTTGAATCAACCAAGATAATGTAAGAATAAACATAATGTTATGATAGACTACATACAATTGGGGTTTGGCAACGTGGCAATAAGTAAATAAAGTGTGTATCCTATATTCTATTCTTCCTGATTATCGCGCGGTATAGTGAAATTTAAATTCACACAAGTAGTTTCTTCCTAGTGTGGTAAAAATCGGAATTTAATTTAAACTAATAGTACAGTAATACCCCGAACTTACACGATAGGTGGGACTCAATAGCATTGGGATCTCAATAGCATTGTAAGCTCCTCCCACTCTGACGTCACACATTACGCCGAGGAATCTATATTGCCTACTGACTGTCATAGTTCAATTATTATCCGCTAGTCGGCGCCAGTAAATAGTCATTTTTAAATCCACATTAAGTTACAAATTATTTAGACGGGAATCATTTGCCAACTGACAGCTGACGTATAACAGATATGTAGGTAAAAATCTTGATATACAGGGTGGGATTTAAGTCGTATCATGACATACTATATATATCATTGGAAAGGAGATAGCGAATATGTTGAGACAGAAAAACATACACATATAGTCATTGCCAAAAGGACATTACATTATTTCTCCGTTGTTATTGGTTGACTACTAAAAGATCACTAGACGTCATCTTTGTTATTAATAAACGCATAGTTACATTCGAGATATCATACTATGGATGAAAATAGATTTATTATAACACAAATTTTGATTTCAATATAAGGTTGAATGTTCGAATAATTCAACTTTGATGGTATACAAGGCAAATATCGAACACAGTAATTAATTAAATCTTGCCCAAGTACTTTCGATCAATAGATCATCCTCAGGGGCATTTCGTCAGTTGTGGCCTATCTGACATGAGCAGAATGTCATACATGTAAATTTGAACATAACAATACAATACACAAAGACAAACAAACACTTTAAAATTTTTAAAAATGGAGAAGCTACATGTTATATAGAAGCCGGAGACAGAATGACAGAATGAGACATTATTACATATGCTACTGGAAAGGTAGGCCAGTGATCAGTTTGCAAGTCTCTCTAGGTCTGTTTTAAAATACATGGTTTTATTGCGGTTATGAGTTTGTACTATCTACTAGGGCATTTATGCTAATTGGTGATGAGTTTATGTGTAGCGGTTTTTAGTACTCAAAGACATCATTTTATCGTTATTTCAGAACAAAAATTAGGGACCCTTAGGTTCCATATCATTTGAATACTGTTTTAAGGATATAGAACTAATTTTAGAAGACTCATATAGGCTTTTGTTTGGTTTCGGTTCCATATTTAAACATACTTTCGGCCTAGATACCTCGGAGCTGAGTACACTGAGTACGTGAGCCTTTGGGGCCGAATGATGTGGAAATGCACATTTCATTTTCTTGCAAACATCCATTATTTATCGTCTATCACAATATTATAAGCCTTTTTTTGTGATTATCAAATTAGGCTGTACGCTACGCAATAAATCCATTTCACAGAAAATTGTTTTGCGATTTGTATATCCTCTTTAAGCGAGTGGAACTAATGTCAATGCATATATCTATACTAAGTTGTATAACAATTTTGCAATATTACTGAAAACACTATATTGATGTGTACAGAGTCAACAGCCGATTTTGACGACCTTCACGAAATTCGCCTTGGATCTAAATAAAGCTACGATTAAATACAGAATCTAAACGCGAAGCAGGAATAGTTCTTTATCACCAATAGCCGAACCGATTTTATACGGTACTTGTTCGGTATAAAAAAATCGCTCTTATTATAGATTCACTGAACGAAAGTTTTAAGTTTTTTTTCACTACATTGTTAAGCTATTAGTAGATCATCTATTTGTTTCCTACTGGAATATGGATAAGTGATACTCCCTTGTATACAATACTCTTTGTAATAGATTCCTACGAGATATAAATCGATTATTAAAGAATCTACAGTAATTCTTGAAATCGTGTTGTCATGTCTGTTTGTCTGTGCGATATGTCTTGAAGGAAGTCTTAGTGTCTTGAAACCCGAAGTTTGGAGGTTTAAACTTTGGTGAGACATTGGGCAAATGCTTCGATTCTCTGGTGTATTAGTTAATTTAGTAACAAATTCTAATAAGTACATTATCGGATAATAACTCGGATAATAACTGATCAATAACTCGGTCCTATCCCTGTATTGTGACGTCAATCTAAATGGCAGTCATTCATACATACATTCACTGAGTAAGATATTTTAAACGTGCAATAAACAGAGTTCTTGCACCCTTTCCATTACAATTTAACCCCCTAAAGATCGATAATTTATTCCTTTCTTCATCTTTTGTTATGTCTTTAAATAAGAAGCTTCCTTTGACTTCATTCAGGGGTGAATAAATGTTCTTTATAGGAGCACCGACACATCACACCAGGTGTTGGCAATTTTAAATAATTTTTTATGCTACCATGATTGTTGATTTTATGTATTAGGTATTTCATTGTCTTGATAACTAACAATTTATTACTGAATATAAAGTAAATTTAATTTTCGTTGTAGAATGAATTCATGTATGCTACAAGCTGATTTACTAGCGAACTTTGAACGAATACATGAACTGAATTAAAAACATTTTGCTACATTTAACTAGATTCCCCACTGTGGTAAAATGGTTCAATAAACAAAAGGCATTCTTGGTCAATCTAATATCGTTTGAAAATTGGAAGCTATTTAAAGAATCCCGAAAAATGGTTTCAGTTGTTGATTTTCTATTAAATGAACAAGATTCCGAAAACACGTGAAAATAGCTCCTTGGGTAAAATCGAGAAGGCAAATGGTGTAGAAAACCTTAAGTAATAATCAACAAGTATCGTATATTTATAAAAAGATCTGGCTTTAAATGAATTTTTAAAACTGTTTTACATTATTTTTTTACAGTGTTGTTCTAAACCCCTTTTTTTCGTGATCTCACAGTTTTTCAAATGTATTTTGAACAACCGATTAAAAAAATATTTTATGTGAAAAGTATTACCTCGGATCCTGCTCCTTGTCGTTTTATGCTTTCTCTGCTGCAGGGAAAACAGAATTTGTGGTGTGGCACTGAAGGACATTGTACAAAATGTGTATCTTCCAATCGTTCTTGGCACAATGTACATTTCAAAGTTGCTGTAGCCGTAGGAGTAGTGGCAACATTGTCGCCGCTACCGGTTAAAGTCTCATTATTATTGGCCGACATAGTACCAGCTTCTGTAGATGTTACTGTCGTTGAAGAAACATGCCTTGATCCAGACGAACGTCTACCACTAGAAGAACCTGCTAACAAAATTAATAAACTGGTAAAATATAATTATGCTATATTTTTTGTATGGCTAATATTTTAGTCACGGAACAAATGTAGGTCAGAGCCGAAACCACGTTACAAGCTTTATACATTATGCAAGATTGATTTGGAACCTTTTTACCCCAGAAAAATAAATCAACGGTGAAATTACACAAACTAACTGTACACTTATTTTTTCCGATTTTACTCGAACAGAAGCCATTTACAATAGAAGGAATTATTCGAGTATCTCTTTCCATTCGAGTATCTCTTTTCACATCTTTTTAATACTTTTTCTTTAGAATTTTTATAATGCAACATGAGGAAGCCAAATTGTGTGCGTGACTCCCCAAACTTATCAATCTGTGGTCATTATAATTACTGTGATACATGGAAGAATTATTCAAAGAAGAACAAGAGACAGAAGTCAGTGGTTCTGGATGTTCAGGACCAGAAATAACTGTCAGTGAAGTAATATATGCAATAAAAAGAATAAAAACCAACAACGCACCTGGACCTGATATCATACAAGCTGAAATATTGAAATATAACGTACAAGCTGAAATATTGAAACTATTTGAAAACAACCAACTCAAACTCCTAACGGGTCTACTGAACAAAATCTATGAAACTGCAGAATTTCCTACAGGTTGGGTAGTTTCCACATTCATCCCTCTCACCAAAAAGGCAAATGCCACCAGACGCTCTGATTACAGAATTATAAGCTTAGTTACATGCACTCAAAATCCTCCTTTCTGTTATTAATTCTCGCATATATAGAAAACTTGAAGAAAACATTAGCAGTGTTCAGTTTGAGTTTAGAAGCGGACTGGGAACACGAGAGGCCCTATTTTCCATACAAGTATTGATACAAAGATCCCGAGACGTAAATTGCGAAGTCTACGCATGCTTTATAGACTTTGAAAAAGCATTTGACAAGGTGCAACATCAAAAATTATTTCAGATACTGGAAGTATCTAGTATTGATGACAAAGATTTACGCCTAATTAAAAATTTATACTTACAGCAAAGGGCAACTGTACGAATAGACAACGAAACCTCACAAGAATTTACGATAAAACGGGGAGTACGCCAGGGCTGTATTTTGTCACCGACGTTGTTGAATACTTACTCGGAAAAGCTGTTCAGGGAAGCTATTGATGGTTTAAGAGAAGGTATAAAAATCAATGGTGAAATCATAAACAATTTAAGTGTAGTGGAAGCCTGTGACAGATACGACATGAAATTGTAGGTAATGAAAACTGTAAGAAGAAAATTCTTGTAGTAAGTAAAAACGACGTAATACAGCACCAATTCACTGCTAATAATGAACCCTTGAAAATAGTCGACAAAATTACATATCTTAGACGCAGTCTAAATAAGGAATGGGACACAGGAAATAAAATGTCGTATAGAAAAGGCGAGAGCTGTCTTCAATCGCATCAGGAAGATTTTATGTAATATACACCTAAACATAGATATAAGAACACGAGTCTTGAGATGCTATGTATTTTCTACCCTTTTCTATGGAGTCGAAGCCTGGACCTTGACGGAGGCAACATCCAACGATTAGAAGCATTCGAAATGTGGTGCTACCGCTGCATGCTCAGAATTTCTTATATCCATCATGTTACAAACAGCACCGTGATCCAAATTAAAATTAAAATAGACTTCTAATCACCATATAAAGAAGTGGAAAGTTGATTATTTCGGTGATATATGACTTGCTATGAGTAAAACTAGCATACAATAAAGATTAATTAGCACTCGATAACGGTTACCAATGTCCTCCTAACAAAATACGCATAAATATAGCGTAAATTAAACTTATAGATAGAATATGTGACTTATGTGCTTGACAATAATAACGGAAATACAACGTCTATGATACAGATATTTTTAAAATATTGATTTTTAATTAAACATTAGCAACATGTGGACCAATAACTTCACAACCAAAAGGTACATATTTGAACAACTATTTGAGGTATTTGAACAACTATTTGAACAAAAATTTGAACCTCAGATATTTTATTAAAATTTAAATGATTACCTGTTGAATTAGGCGAATGCTGAGATCCTCTCGATGCAGACCGAGGGGCAACGTTTGTAGGTGGACTTCCTCCTGTTGATCGAGGACTTCCTGGTGGTAGATTGTCGGCTACTGATATCAAAGCTGCCATGGGGCTTTGGCCAGAACCGGTAGTAGGTTGAGCCTGGGGTGTCGCACCAGCCATGTTGGCTTCTGGTGGGGAACCAGTTCTATTATTTAATGGAGAATTCGAAGAGGTCCCATTCGCACTGGCTATCGAGACAGGAGCTGGAAAAAAATTAAACGCTCAATTAAAAAGGCCAAACATAAAATTACAATATTTAATAATTCGAATTTAAATCTTTGCCAAAACCAAATATTTGGGACCAATGAATATTTGCAAATTGTTGTTAATCAATAAAAGAGACGCTAAACATAAAGATAGTTAATTTTAATGACATTATAATAGTATGTCTTCAGAAAACTTGATTGTACACTGCTTAAACAATTAGATGAATACTTATTTATAACCCATGTAACATTTCGAGTAAAAACAATATACAAATAAAACATTTAAACGGTATAACTGTAGTATTAGATTAGATTTTCTTCATAGAAGAATGCGGTTAAGTTTGTGTTAGGTTCAACATCGTGTACATTCTCCATCAGCACCAATAAATACATGATACATATTCGTCATTGTTTGGTATCATATTTCTCGAGTTATATTTGCTAATTAGTTACTAAGGTCCGTTTAAGGGGCTACGTTCCTGGACCAATAACCCTAGTTGGGAGTTTATGTTGCCATGAAATGAAACTACTTAAAATATTAACATCCTACAAAATTAACATCCTAAAAAACAGTTTAATATTATTTAAAGGGTTTTCACCCATATATTTAGAGCTTTAAACATACTTTAGCAGGATGTAGCACTGAAGATGGAATATTTATTCCAAAAACGTTCTACTATTTTAAGGGTCCTTTTAAATAAATATACCTTTTATAAAGAAGTTATGAAGATTTACGTCTATATCTAAAATAAATTCCGAATAAACTGAAATAGAACTATCAGGAAGAATAAATACCAATGTAGTAACTAATAGGGTAGATACCAGAAAAAAAGTGAAACGCAAACTCAATTTAAAGAGTTTTTCAAGTACACAATAAAGTCGAGAAGTTGTGAGTCCGTAACAGATTCCAAACAGTCCCTTAGTAATTGGCGAGGCTCAACCTTTATGCTACGACATAAAGGAATGGTAGGTTACAAGATTGGTAATAATTTTGCCAAAGAATAAGCTAATAATCCTTTTATTTGGCCAGAACCATTCTGCGGTATACCACATCGTGGAAGATGTCCTAAAACTGGAAAAGAAACTTAGCGTAGGTACTAGAAAAATATTCCAGGTCAAGGGTAATCAAAAAATTTATTACAATTTTCGACTCCATTCAAAAATATTCTTAAAGCTTCAGAAAACTGGACGAAAAGAAACTTCTGGACGCTGCTCACTTTAACGCAGATATCTTCTTCTTGTAGTGCCTATCCGTTTCGGATGTTGGCGACCATCATTTTAATCTGTATTTTTCAAACTGCTGCTCTGAAAAGATTTGTGGTTGTGTTGAACCACGAAAGTAGATTTTTCAGCCAGGAAATCCTTCGCCTTCCTGGTATTAATTTTTCTTGAAGAATTAATTGCAGCAACCCATATCTTTCGCTGTTCCTCATAATGTGACCGAGATTTTGTGTGATTCTCCAGTAGATTTTATGTGATCCACTAAATTGTCGGTTTCGGTCTTCCGCTGGTTCGTCGTCCCACTAATTCGTCAAAGTCGTCATGCTAATTATCACATGTTGCTCTCGGCTGATCACAATACCTAAGGCATCTGAGGCGTGCTACTTTAATAAATTTCACAATATTATGCTTCCCAAAACTTGTATACAACTCAAAAATTGTAACACCTGTCCCCTGTCCCACAATTCTTACTTTTTCACTCCTACACATTTTCCTACACACTTCAATTTTCAGAACACGATTAAGCAGTTCTTGATAATTGTGTGTAAGTATTTTCTGAATGGTCAGTTTAATTTTTTTGGGAAATCTTGACTATTTTCCTTTTATGATTAGACTATTTTAGATTATGTGCACGCAAAGATGATACTGCACCTAGTATAACTATGGATTTTCAAAAAAAATTGCATATTTCAAACATCACAACGAATGACGTTTATTATAAACGACAACTTAACTACCATTTATTCAATATTCATCAACTGTCTGATGCCGATTCATTTTTTTATGTCTATGATGAAACAGTGGCTAAAAGGGTGCCGATGTTGTGGTTTCACATTTATTTCATTTTATATATAATGAATTGAATTCTCAAGTACAAAAGTTTACCATATTCTGTGACTCATGTGGGGGTCAGAATAAAAATGATACAGTTTTTAGATTTTCTTCATTATATATGGTCCATGCCTGCCATCGCTTTACAGAAATTATTGTTGTATTTCCTATCATTGGTCACTCATTAGAGTGTGACCACAATATGGTTTTCAATCAAAAAGCAAGTATTAAGTTACCTAGTGAGTGTGCACAGCACATTAGAGAGTCTAGAAAGAAACCTAAACCATTCAATGTCAAGGAATGTACTACAAATCATTTTAAATCTTGGACTGCATTTCTGACTCCTTTTTACAAAAAAAAGTTTCCCTTTGCAAGAAGACCTTTAAGACAGTTGAAAATTGATGTTTAATCATGGAAGGTTTAGGTTATGAAATTTACAAAGAAAATTAGAGTGGATCATGGTTGTTAAGCACAGTTAATAGTCCTCAACAACTGCGGTTGGCAAAAAAAAATAATGAATTTTCACTACCACAGCAGGCTTACACAGGCAAACTGCCTATATTACTGAGCCGAAGTTCAAAGATATTCAGGCTTAGAAAATATTTTGTTTTCAATCAGCCAAGGACTATTATGATAGTTTACCTCATGCCAAAAATGTCAGAGATGATGATAACTGATGGTACTGATAATGTTTACAGACCAATGAAAAGTCTGGACTTTCATTGATTTTACATATGACACACCACCTTTGTTAGTGCTTTTTTATTTTTTCAATAAAATACTTTGAACACAAAAGTTAAACTTTTCATTTTTATCATTTAATAATACCTGCAAGTGTAACTGATAAATAAATTATGATTTATCTTAACCAATTTGAAAGATGTAAGTCCCTAAATTTACAATTCAAGTTTTCTCATAATAATATCAGAAGTACTTTCATGGTTTAAGCCGTGTGCCCTTCATATTATAAAAAAGCAGTGAGAAGGTCTACAAGGCTAAAATATCCGTACAATGAACATGAAAAGACAAGCGAAAAAAACTGTTCTTTTTACATCTATAGTTTCTTGAAAAAAAATGTACTATATAAAAAGAACTAATATTCCTTCTGTCACGATTATTTTAAACGATTACTGGTTTTATCTTATGATTATGTATTATGTTTAATTAGATTTAAAAATGTGGTTGGATATTTTTATTAACGATTGTCATATATATAAGGCCTCACTCTCTGTTAAAACCTCTACATATTTCATATTTTATATTCCTCTAAAATCCATGTTATTGTAAATAAAAAGTCTTTGATAATAATAAAGGCCTTTGTTAAGGAATAGTATAAAAGACGACAATGCACCTGGACGAGAATCTGCATCTTACTATCGAAATAGCGGAAAACATCTGCTCTATCGTCTAGCCCCTTTTTAACGTAACACACAATAAGACACAGATGGGAATTTCTTTAGGGTTGATAACAAGCTGATAACCTAGAACAGCAGTTAGGCAAATTTACATAACTAGGGTTTCTTCCACGGTTTCTTCAGGACCATTAGTGAACATAATAAGGATATCATTTTTTTAAATTCTCACTTTTTAGGTAGAATTTAATAGTAATATTATATTTAAAACACTTCTTATATGTTTTATAATATCCCATAATTATGTTTAAGTAAATACATAGATCGTCATGGATTTCAAAGCTATTATTGTCAGATATAAACGTGACTTCCTAATTGTTTCAGGTAAGGTTGACTTAAATTTAAAAAAATAATGAAAAATCAAGTGAGACAAATACGAAATTTGATAATATTACACGTGAAATTATAATTGGTGCAAATAATGGAAAGTATTATTCACTATTTAAGGTATACCAAGGAAGAAATAGTTTTGTAGAAAAAAGGTCTATGTCCAAGAAAATATTTCACCAAATAATTCAAGCTGTAAGATTTGTTGATGCCACTAAGAGGCAAGAAAATTGGGCAGTTGATAATCTTGCACACATTCCAGAAATATATGAAATGTTTGTCACTAACTGTTTATCTGCATACACTCCTGGATTCTATGTGACAATAGATGAAATGTTGGAAGCGGTCCGCGGTCGATGCAAATTTAGGCTGTATAACCAATAAGCCAGCGAAAACGGGAATCAAGATTTATGCCTTGGTGGATGCTACAACATTTTTCACACAAAATCTCGAAATTTACCCCGGCAAACAACCTGAAGGACCATGTCAACTACCCAACGATGCATCTAGTGTAGTAAAAAGACTTATACGACCCATAAGTCCAATTACTTTTCCTCTGTACCTTTAGCCAACTCTTTATTGAACCATCATTGCTTGACAACGATAGGTACCTGTAGTAGCATGTTTGTATATGGTGACGATGGAAACAAGTGTGTACTTGTACCATATGTGCCAAAAAAAAAAAAAGAATGTACAACTACTCAACACTACACAGCGATGGTTTCATTGATGACAATACCAAAGAGCATACCATGAAGCCAGATATTAATACTGATTACAACCTCACAAAAGGCGGAGTGGATGTTGTTGATAAAATGAAGGCAGAATATTCGGTGACCCGATTTAGCAATCGCTGGCCGTATACTGTTTTTTGCAGCCTACTAAATATTTAAACTATAAACAGACAAATAATTTACAACAATAACACTAATATTGTAAGATCTCGAAGAAGCTACAAGCTTGGCAAGCAACTTTTAATATCACATCTTCAACGACGTTCGAATATCCCAAATCTACCTTTTCAGTTGAGACCCAGGATCCGAAATATAACCGAAGAAAAGCCTCAGTTTCTCAATGGACAACTCCAACTATAAAACCAAGATGTTCTTTTTGTCCTGTAAGGAAGAACAGGTTTACCCAACATTATTATACTAACTGTAAGTTGACGATATGCAAAGAGCACATTGGTTTAACAAATTTTACTTG